GTTACATAATGTTGCAATTTCATGGTCTGCTCTGCTCCTGTCACCATATACTAGTAGTACATGTATGTGAATGTGTTTGAGTAAAAATTAACAGGGCAGACCATGTCCGAAGGTAAACATTATGCATTTGCTTTGCAAATGTTACTTCTCTAGTTTTTTACTGTTCTGGAATATTGCAGAATGTCAAAATTTTGTTCTGCAATTCTGAAATACTTTCTGCAAATACACACATATAACTTGGACCTATACCCATGGCATATGCACAATTGTATGTTGGCAAATATAACTGTGATGAAGGGTATGTATAACCAAGGACATTCTACAACATCACACCTGTTGTAGAATGTCCTTGATGAAAGCTCCTTGGTATAACTCTGTTGCTTTTGGGACAGCATTCTTCACCGTGCAGCAGCGACACCTAACTGCAGTGTGAAGTACTACAGGTTGGTTTGCCTAGAGGAAGTTGACAGACGGCCACAGAAATGTTGGCAAGTGATTCTGTACTTGTTGTGTGTAAAGAACTTTGTTATTTAGTGTTTTGCCAAACTGATGAAACTACCTATGGGAGAACTTATAACACCTGAGGTTTTCTGTTCGGTAATATTACATGTACATGCACTACATGTAAGCCAATTGTTAGTACATCAATAAAGGAAGATACATGTAAGTATATCATCTATACTCTAACAACATGGGAGCCCCTTAGCTTAAGGTCATATTGAAGGGTGCCTGAGGACTTTTTGGAAATACTAGTATAGAAAAAAAACTCTATCTGACATGGTAGACTTTTTGGTCTATTTTTATAATCTATAACATATTTTTTGCCAGGGCCACATTTTGACCGCGAAATTGAACGACAAAGTTCGCAATTTTTACGCGCCATCTACCATCCGGGCTCCCATATATGGAGTGCTCTTCCAAATATGGAGTGCTCTTCCAAATAATGTGCACACCCCCCGGCCCCACTGAAGCGAAAGCACGATTCCGCAGGGCCACTTGAAGCAAGGAATGTGAACTGTCACAGTGTGTGTGAGCTTCACTTTGCCATTGGGAAAGGAAAAGACAATTTTCCTGATACTTAGAGCGTTTGTAAATACAGTACATCATGTTATTTGTAGACCGCTAAGTAACCAAAATCTGCCAACTGCAAAGAATTTACGAAAACCTGCCATGCCGGCTAATCAAGTCGGAACACATATTCAACTAGGAAATATACCACAGAAATCACCAAGAAAAAGGCATGGATTACGCCAACAACTTCCTATAAAAAAACATTTGACTGCCAAAAGGAACGTTTGAGTTTGTTTCGACTGCAAAATGTTTGTAAATATACTACCGGTAGTAACTGTTATATGCAGTTGTAGGAAGAAGATACTAGTACTTGAACAAACATGACACAAGAACTGATTTCCAATCTGCAACGTTCTTTTTTTTTATTCAAAGAAATACAATACAAACAAACTTCAAGCTATCTTAGAGCGGAATGCATACACAATCTTACTGTAACGACGAACATATATTTACGGTTTACAGCGGTGGCAGCTTATAACGGATCGTCCATATAATTTGCAGATAAAACTCCGTACGTAAAAAAAATCATATACTGTAAGCACACGTCTACTAGGACAACATTCAACAGAAATTCATATAATCAACAAAATTATATTCGCTAGTAATCTCATACCACGTACGGGCAGGCTTTTCTCCAGGGCTATCTACTCCGGTAACTTTTCAGTCTTTTTTCCGAGTATGTTGTTGTTTCCGTAACATAACAAAGAACTTCGGGGGTAGGCATCAAAAACAATCCAAAACTCCAGAAAACGCGGACGGTTTTCTCCAGAAAGGTCTCAGAATAGTCCATGAAAGTCCACCTGCAAAACTACGTAGGGTATAGCCGTCTAAAAGATTGTCCAGCGGCCCAAATGTTGCCGCAAACCGCACAGCGTCCTTCGCGGCATCCACGTCGTCGTCCGCCATTTTGGTTTGGTCACGTGACTCCCCCACGCTTAAAGAATGGGGATGCTTGGGCTGTTCTTTTTACTGGACATATCCCCGGCCTGTTTTTCTAAATCGCGGCTCAGAATGGTAAATACAGCGTGCTGAAGGGTCAATGACCCGCATTTTACCGGAAGTCATCGGGACCTTTGGAATGCGGACCAGAACCTGGCGATTTCGGCTCTTTTTGGCTCCAAAATGGACATTTATGTAACCCATACAGCATATACAGCATTTTTAGATCAAAACTGTGGCAAAACTGCTAATGAAAAGGGACAAAAAATTGTTTTCTTTTAAACATAAGCTTCTAAACTAAAAACGTACGTCAGGCCGACACGCTGCGCCGCTTTATGTGCTGGGGAGGGCCGCTGGCGTATGGCACTGTTAAAATTTACGAAAAAAATTCATTAAAAATCAACATTTAAAGATAGAAAAAATCCTGACGTACGTTTTTTGCTATCACTATAGTGCGCCTCTCTACAAAATATGGTCAATGAAAACCAAAGCACTGGCCAGGAAAATTGATTTTTCTAAAAAGGGGGCGTGGCTCATAACTCCAGATTACGTCATCGTGACGTCATAAAAATTTGCATAAATTATTGTCTTGCAATAAGGTACTTATATGAAAAAATTCAATGACCAAAAGTAATTCTAACTAGTATTTTTAAGATGTCCCCAAAGTCCTCAGGCACCATTAAACACTACCTTAAGTCTAAGTAGATTTCAATACTAGTACCTCAACTTGCTGTTAATGAAGAAAGCAACAAGTAAATGTATCAAAGAAGCTTGAGAGATAGATACTTTATTAGCGACAAGATTTGGAATATTTAAATAATTTAGTCAGGGTACACCTTAATATATTGTACAAACATTGCACCATTTCTTCTGTTAAGTAGACTGGCTAGTTTTTAATGTACTTTTTGTTTTTGATGTAAAACATCTAAATTCTGACAACTAGATAGTCATATTATAACTACTAATCTGAAAAAATTTTTATCTGGATATGATTTTGGAAAATCTTTTTTTTTTTAAATGATTTTCCAAAATCATATCCAGTTGCTTGAGTAACTGCTTTTTGGCGTACTGTATTACCTGGATGTCTAACCCTCATCGACGTGACGTATTTACATCAACACTTTTTGTATTTCCTAATCTCATCCCCTCAAGTTGTTTTCCTTTTCTTCGAGGGAGACCTGTCATCCGAATCGTCTTCTTTCGCTCCCCTCTTCAGCCACATGGACAGGAGTTGCCCTGGTTTGGGGGTGGGGGGAGGTCTCTTCTCCCTTACAGGGGGGTTGGGGGATGGCTGTTTCTCCCCTCCCCCACTTTTGGCCGGTTTCGCCGTCTGAAGCCAGGCCGACATCATTTTGCTGCTGGCTGTGGGTTTTCTGCAACAGAACAGGCGGAGTCAGAAAGGCTTTTATCTCGTTCTTTTTCTTCTTTCATTTTGAGGCAACCATCAGCCTTCAACTAGTTGAAGATTCTGCTGCTTTTCTGTGGCTAATACAGGATGAGGGTTCGCCATGGCCTCCATCCAGGAAAGTAATGTAAAGTGCCTTTCCCAAGGGCACAAGATTAATATTGGTGACATGGCAGTGTTGACGAAAGCTATAATGGATACTACCTGAAACGTCTGACGTTTTCAAAATCATATCCAGTTGCTTGAGTAACTGCTTTTTGGCGTATTTTTAGGCAAGACTGTAACTCACGTCTGTCCGATCACGATGGGCTCCACACACTCCGCGGACTTGTTTCTGGAGTTGTTGACTACCGTGGAAACGGGGTGAAAGGTCAGACACTCCTGAGGCCGGATCAACTCCACGGCCTGAAGGACAACAAAAACAACAACAGAAGTAAACACCTTTGCACCTGTAGATCAACACACATGTAAAAATACCTCTCTCTCTCTCACACAAAAACACACACACACATCCACACACACACACATAAACACACACACACACACATACTGACACACACACACATACTGACACACACAAACACATGTACACACACACACACACACCCTAACCCACCTTATTTAGAGGCACCCTGCCGTGGTCCAGCCAGTCCCGTACAGCCCCCTCCCCATGCAGCACAGCCGGCATCCTGTGGTGGATCCACACGCACATGTACAGCAGACCCACCTTATTTAGAGGCACCCTGCCATACTCCAGCCAGTCCCGTACGGCCGCCTCCCCGTGCAGCACAGCCGGCATCCTGTGGTGGATCCAGGCCGGTGGCGGGCGCGGCGTCCACGGTGATGACGGTGTAGGTGTACAGCGGCTCCCCACCCCCCGGGGGGGTCCACCGGTCGAAGATCCCCGCCATCGTCAGCAGCCGGCGCCCTTGCCAGGCTCCGGAGTCCTCAAGGTCACCCCTCTCCCCACTCTCTGGGTTGTCGTGAAGGTCACCACTCTCTGGGTTGTCGTGAAGGTCCCCACTCTCTGGGTTGTCGTGAAGGTCACCACTCTCTGGGTTGTCGTGAAGGTCACCACTCTCTGGGTTGTCGTGAAGGTTGCCCCCCTCCCCACTCTCAGGGTTGGTGTGAAGGTCACCCCCCTCCCCACTCTCAGGGTTGTTGTGAAGGTCACCACTCTCAGGGTTGTCCTGAAGGTCGCCCCCCTCCCCCTTGTTCTGAGGGAAGTAGATGAAGTACGGCTGCTTCTTGCCGTCCTTCCCAGTCTGCCACTCAAAGTACCTGTACAGAGGACAGCATGTGATATTCAATTCATTTGTTCACCAAGATTTCCCACACATTGTGGTAGGATTGACATTAAAAAAAAGTCTATAAATAAGTATAATATGCCATCACCAGGGATAATCGAGAGGATTTTGATATATGGTCACGTAGATAGCACCAGGCACTCTGTGCTATCCTCATAAGTGAGCACCAAGTGTTATAGGACTATGAAATTAATCTCCAAGCAGATCTTTCGGTGGCAAAACAGTATCCATTGGCCAGAGGAGCTTCGGTTGGGAAATGGATACAGGACGGCCAATTGATACGGTCTTTTGCCACCCAACCGAAAGATCTGTTTGGAGATTATATGAAATGACCATAGTACAACCCCTGTAGAATCTAGAGAAACCTTCGCTGACAAACTTACCCATCGGCCAGCACAACACATCTCTGGCCCTTCTGTAGTGGCCCCTTGAAGAAGCCTTTCGTCATCATCCCTTCACTGCGAGCGTTGTTCGTCTTGTACCCGAAACCTTTCGGGTCGCCCTGGGAAACGCAAAGCAAGAGGGAACGATCAGACTTCACACAATCTGTAGTTTTCTTACTCTCCAAGCATTTCTTTCGGAGCAAGACACTGTGTTGGTAAACTGGATACCGCCTGGCCTGACCAACATACTTCCGGTAGTAGTGTCTTGCCCCAAAGAGATCTGCTTGGAGATTATACTTTTTTTCACACAAGTAAATCCTGGTAATGATATATCACTGTTAAATTATAAGCATTCTCGAAAATTCGTAGAAAATAATAATTTTGAATTGTTGCAGCAAAAAAGGCCACAGCAAGTAGATTTCAGGGCACCAGGCACAGTTCTGGATACGACAAGTTGGACCACGAGTAAAGGAAAAGGACGTAAACTAACAAGACTGGCCTCCAGGCTAACATCGAGTCCCTTACCTTGAACCATGATGGCACTAGTCCCCACTGCATGGCTGCCAGTGTCCTGTCCTCCGTCTGTGGCTCCCCTCCAAAATGGCTGCTGCACACCAGGACTGGCCTGAAGGACACACAACACAGGCTAGGTCAGGTCAAGATTTAAAATCTGACACATAATATCCACAAAGTCAATACATCACACTGCACATGCCGGCAGAATGTAGTGCGTGTGCGCGAACCCCTCATTTTTCATGATTTTCATTGGATTTTTGGTCAACGTTGCTTCAGAATTTTGCCTGTTGCTGACGATATCTTCTGACATTACATTTGGAAACTGCAGAAGGAGTGTGAACCTTATATAGGCGCATACAACCTTATATGAGGCGTTCTGCCGAAGCGCTATGCACAATACATTACAGGTTTCGCGCAGGTGCAGTACGTTCTGCTGGGACTGAACTTGACTTACGTGCGAGACTGTGGACTGATGTTGTGTGAGGGGAAGTATTTGCTGCTGTCGCCGTCCTTCCATCTCGGCTGCCGCCGTTGCCCCCGGCGATCCCGGAACCCGCAGGCACGAGGCACATCGTCTGGAGCAAGGGTGCTGCAGCACAGGGGACAAGACAACAGTCGACTCGTCTCTTTATCTTTCATGTTTACCTTCGTGAAAATAAAGCATATCCTTTTTATTCGTTTCTTCTTCTTCTCCAAGCAAATATGACCTGGATCAGATGGCAGTCAGCCTGTCACTATGGTGCTAGTAACTTGTGCTGTAGCAGAGACCCAGTGGTGTTGGGTTACATTATGTAGCAAGTTTCTCTTTTTTCCTGAGCTGGATGTCCCTTGCATGACTTTATCTCAGTACCGAATAAGATAAGATAAGGTAAGTGGCAGGACAGAGTTTGAGGGGGAAAAAACAACATGGTCATTCATTATGTTTACCGAAGGAAAACATATTGTTTTTGCTCAGTTTTCTTCTTCCTCTTCTCCAAACAGTGACCTCTGACCTGCACCAATTTTGTGTCTGTTACCATGGTAACTAGTGTTGGGTTACATCATGTTGCAATTTTATAGCAAGAGGGATTTAGACTCCTGTTGGACCATATGTATGAATGTGTTTGAGTAAGAATTAACAGAGCAGACCATATGCTAATGTAAACATGCATACTAATACTGTAGTCTTTTATGTTCTAACCTCACACTTGTTAGGACAAAGCCTTGAACTTGACCATTCATATTCACAAAACAACGAACTTGGATACCTTTACCTTGATGTTGTTTGCTAGTATTAAAGAGCTGTCAAACTCGCGATCGATGTCAAATGAACATGAGTGCACAATCACAAACTTGATCGAGGCTAGTTACACCAAAACAGCCCCTCCCCCTTTCGAAACCTCCGTTTTCCCAAAGTCCTGGCCTGGTTGAATTTACCCCCGTTTTTAGAACTGGGCTAATCAGAAAACAGCCGAAGACCACCAAACCCCCAGTTCTATAAGCCTGCTACGGTCGACGTCACGATCACAACATATGATCACATGGAGTAAAAACAGCCCCTCCCCCTTTTGAAACCTCCGTTTACCCGAGTCCCTCACTCCCGGTTAATTACCATGCGGTCCTTCCACACATCCTGAGACTGCCTGAACCTGAAACTGTCTCTCCGGCGTTTAAACTGACCAGATCTGTCCGTTCTGATCTTTTTATTCTGTTTCACGCCGAGGTAGCCTGTCTTGGCTTGCCCAAAACAAAGATGGCGGATCGAACGACCGCGGCAAAACCAAAAATATACAACAGGACTCGTAACTTGTTTTGCATTAATTAAAAAATAACAGAAATGATCTAATTAAAAATGAATATAACCAGAAACACGTTTTGTATGAATTGTGCATTCTGTTGTATGTGTTTTGAGTGAAAAATGTTGTTTGTGTCGGTGCGTTTGGTAGCGGTGTGACGTCAGAGGTCATTGACCGAGCTGTGGTGAATGCGAGGAATGTCAATAAGGCCACAGCAAGTAGTTTTTATGGATGACATCACCGCGCGCATCAATTTTCGCCTGATTTTGGAAAAAAAAAGAAGAAGAAATTTTGTTGCCTTCTGACAGTGGTCAACATGCCGAAAATGGGCAAAATGTCTGTTGCCATGCCGGAAGGTGGATGGCAGATAACTATGAAGAGAGGAGACAAGAAAAGGCTCTGGTTTAATGTTTTGTTTCTTACTTTGATGCAGTGATATGTGATGCTGGCTGTGTGTATGTGATGTTCTCACTGAATCAAACCTATTTGCACAATGATTGAGTCAAAATTTTAAATTGTAGGAACCTTGTTTTTTATTTCCTTTCGGCTGCGGAGGATGTCATCCATAAAATCTACTTGCTGTGGCCTAAAATACAGTGTATACATGTATATTGTGTCACTTTATAGATAAAGGTAGATATATTCTAATCTTTGCTTATTCTAGATTGTAATTTTTATGTACTTATATTGTGTAGGTTTAAATGTGTCTTGTTTGTGTGTTTATAATTGTCTTGTGTGTGGGCCACAACACCAGCCCCCGCTGCCTGTGGCCCACGAGTATTGTATTTGTTTGCAATTTCAATAAATCAAATCAAATCAAAATAACATAGCGTTTAGTTTTAAAAACTCCTGTACGTTATCATACTATATTGTACCAATTATGAAATAAAGACTAAGTTTTAACTTCCAACACTAACTAGTATTGGGACTATAACTGAATAGTTTCAAATGTGTCAGTGTAGTGGGAAACAAACATCTCGCTAGCACTACATCGCCAAAGGTAGGATCATAATACATGTAATTCTAAAGGATATAACATAAAGCATACACAACCCGAACATATGTGGGGTCGTGTGGCGTAACGGCAGAGTGCTCGACTCGGAACCAAGAGGTTCCGGGTTCGAGTCCTGACATGCTACCGATCCTGTGCCCTTGGGAAAGGCACTTTACACGATTTTCCTCACTTCGCTCAGGTGAAAATAAGTATTGTATTGTCCCCTGTGTTGGTGGTATTAATATAAGTTGGAAAAAACATGTGCCGTGTGCCGTCACCACGTCTTGTGATTAGATGAAAACCGGGACGTAGAGTGCGCGTTTAGTCACGCGGAAAACAAGATCTGTTGTAGATAATCCCGGTCCATCCCGCCGACTCCGTCACACCTAGTACCTGTCCCGAGCAGGACACAGACCCGCTATCTCGGCGGGCGGCAAACATCAAAGGCTCCACAGGTAACACGCCCACCTGAGCTCAGGTGTACTTTCACCTCTCTAACCGCAGGACTGTACCAAATCTTACAACGGGCAAAAAAAGGGGGCACCTTTTCTACACCTGTTGTACGGCGTACGGCCTGTACTATATTTTTAGCCTCTACCAGGATTCGGGAGGCGACTGGAAGGAGTAGAAATTGGCTAAATACAGAGATAACATGCCAAAGAAGTTGGTCCGCTAGAGAGTACATTTTGCCGAAGGACTCCCTCGGCATGTTATCTCTCTAGCCTCCTTCGCAGACTTCTGATGCAGCGGCGTTAATTCTTTTTTTTTTTCGGAGAGCGACGGTTTTGCCGCCGACGGACTTTACCGGGAAAGACGGTTTCCGACCAGACGTCTGCGAAGGAGGCCATTAGAGAGTTAAGATCATCTTTATTAAGTTTTGACAAACAAACAAGACGAACAGTTAAAACACCTAGGTCAATCCCTTACTCACGGGACGCAAGGTAAGTGTGCGTGCGTCGGACTATCTGGACGCCGAAACTACGTAGATTAAAAATGGTGATTCATTAGGTCTACTCTGTATTTGGCCGATTTCTACTCTTTCCAGCCGCCTCCCGAAGCCTGGTAGAGGCTAGTGCATTTCATGCCGACGCACACATGACGTAAACCTCAACAGATAAATAAATAAAAACAAACAGATATGAAAGGACATGATCACATGAACGAACGTGTAATGTTTGGTGTGTCACTAGTAATGCATGTTCATTGTAAAATGAACCTCTAGGTTTACAAACTTTAGGAACAGCACGATACCGTTCCCTGTTGAGCTACTGAATGGCTATCCCCGTCCACTCTTCTGTATACTAGTAAATTTCTGGTAACTATTTGTAGATAACACAACTTATAATTGTCAAATATGCCCCAATTCAGTGACTGTAGCTGCAATGGCATATTATCTATTATTTTATCATTGAAATAAACCTGTTGTTCAAAATAAGTAGTCAAGCCACAACCTTTTCCCCATGTACGACCATCTACTCATTTGTAAGAAACCTATGGAATATATTCTTTCTGGCATATCAATTCTATTTGTACCAGCAAAAGTTTCTCGGTATAAATATAAGTAATAACGTTATGTCATTAGAGAAAATGCGCATTTTTTTTCAAATTTTATTCAGAAGCACAGTGATAAATACAAATAAAAGGATCATGGACTAAGTGACTGCGAACTCAAGTTAGGTACAACCTATATTCTCGCGGCCACTTTTACAACAAAAAAAGGCGTTTACAAGACGTTTGAAAAACTATGGATAGCATGAGTCAAACCTCCCATCCCAGAAGAGAAGGAAAGCATAGCAGGACACATACAATCAGAAGCGTTTTGTTTCTGTGATGTAGTTTTGCGCGGCTAACATTTAATGTCGTTCGAACAAACCAAACTGCCGCGAAGAACTATAAGTTGTTTAGCATTATCAGAAAGTGTGTTTGAATTGAAAATGTGTCCAAGTATGCTTGAAAGCGTGCCAGAAAGGACTGAGCGCTGGTAGGTGTATATAAAATGGCGAATTCAATGAATGATAAAGGCTTGACACAAAAGTGTTCTCTGATGAACACAGTAACTTCATAGACAGGTACAGACGGCAAACAGTTTTATGCCACTGACGCAGAGGCAGAAAGATATAAACTCTCTTTCACGTGACATCTGCAAATAATAGTTACCCGATTTACCTTGATACCTTGATACGTCTTCCAGGAAAGAAGGCCGGGGCCTGTTATGTCCTGATCTCTGCTCACTCGGTTGCGTACCTTCGCTTCTCCCAGTGACTGTCAAGTCTGCTTTTAAACTGATTAACAGTTTCTGCTGCTACTACTTCTTGAGGCAGGGAATTCCAGTTTTTGATTGTTCTGACACTGAACCCCTGCGCCCTAACCCTGGATCTTGCTAGAGGAACTTTCAACTTGAGGTTGTGACCTCTAGTCGCTGTTTGATCCGCTGGCTGGAAGAAACAGCTGACTGGGACCCTCTCAAGGCCCTTCATAATCTTAAAAACCTGGATCATGTCCCCCCGCTGACGCCTGTACTCCAAGGTTGGGAGTTTAAGTCTCTGCAGTCTGGTACTGTACGGGAATTCCCTGAGTGTGGGGATCAGTCTTGTGGCCCTTCTCTGTACCTTTTCCAGCTGCTGCTTTCCAGACTTGGAGTGTGGTCCCCAGATCACATTTCCATACTCTAAGTGTGGTCTGACCATCGTTTTGAACAGGATTGGTAGGGTTTGTTCGTCCAGGTGGGCAAACGACCTCTTGATTAAACCCAGCATTTGGTTTCCCTTGTCTTTGCTGTCGCTGTGTGGGTACAGAATTTCAGGTGGTGATCGACTATCACTCCCAAGTCCTTCTCTTCCTCGGTCTTTAGCAGATCCTGGTCCCCCAGGGTATAGTTAAGTCCATTGTTGCCACTTCCAAGGTGGAGGACTTTGCACTTGTCCACATTGAACGGTAGCTGCCATGTTGAAGACCAATCCTGTAAAGCCTCTAAGTCCCGCTGAAGTGTGTCATGGTCCTCCCTTCCCTTTATACCATGGTACAGCTTGCTGTCGTCGGCAAATATTCTAACCGTACTGCTGACCACTTCCGGCAAGTCGTTAATATAAACCACAAAAAGTACTGGACCCAGGACGCTCCCTTGCGGGATCCCACTCTTCACCGTACTCCACGAGGACTGCTTGCCATTCACCACTACCCTCTGCTTTCTCTGGACTAGAAAGTCCTTCACCCAGTCCCGCAGTTTCCCTCTCACTCCATAAGCTTCCAACTTGCTGAGTAGACGCTGGTGGGGTACTGCATCAAAAGCCTTCCTGAAGTCCAAGTACACCGTGTCAACTGCTTCCCCCCTTTCCAGCAACTGCGTCCATTCTTCCATAACGACCAGTAATTGGGTTGTACAGGACCTCCCCGGGACAAAACCATGTTGTGCATCTGAAAACAGGTTTGCAGCAGACATATGTTGCACCAGTGCATCCCGGATAATGGCCTCAAGTGTCTTCCCAACCACCGACGTGAGGCTAACAGGCCTGTAGTTTCCCGCTGTTGTTCGACTACCTTTCTTATGTATCGGCGTTATGTGGGCAGTTTTCCATTCCTCGGGTAGCCTAGCAGCCTTCAAGGATTTGTTGAAGAGGATGGTCAAAGGATAGGCCAGTTCCCCAGCCAATTCCTTCAGAAACCGGGGGTGAAAGATTTCCGCATAAACTTGTCAGGACAAATATTGTGAGCGTTTAGTAGATGTTCAAACTTTCAAAGTCAATGTCAATTTTTGAAAGTGAACCTTAGAAGAAAAAATTAATCAAACTGGCAATAACTTTACAGCGGCTAAAATGATTTTGTGGCCTTGTTTCTATCAAATTTACATCCGAATGGCTTGTAGCTACGCAATGCGCGTTTTAGTTCGAGTTTTTATACAGGTATAAACAAAGATGTAGCGAATTTTTGCCCAGCTGACAACAAAGATACAAAAATTGCCGCGAAAAACCCGCGCGGGTCAGGGGTCATCCGCGCCCCATGTGACGAGTTTCCGGCGCGCTGATTGGCTGAATGCCAGGGTGCGCTCACGTGACCAGGGCTGGCCTGACGTGGTCGCCATCTTGCAGCTTGGAGAGAAACTTAGGAATTTGGCTTGAATTTCGCCTGGTCTAAGGATCTGTGACCTTCCTAGGGGCGCTTTCGGGGTTGTGTACGTTCAAGTGCCTTGGCCGTGTTGGATCGGACGGAGCTCGGGGTTTGTCAGGCCTGGATTTAGCGGCGAGCGGCTGTGTTAAGTGCCGAGGAACGGAGCTGGTGTTGGTTTGAGACCGAGGAATTTGAACCGAGCATTCGCAGGAAGGGAGCGAGGATGCCCGTCAGAAAACAAGGTAAGACCTGCTCTCGTCTTGTCGTGGTGTTGTCGTGTTTGCGTCTGCTGTTGGTCGAGGTGTTGACACGACTGTTGCTCTCTTACAGACGCCCACCGGGCACTGGAGCTACTAGAAGATTACCACGCCAAGTTAACCAAACCTGGAGACCGCCAGCTTCGCGCTGCCATCGAGCGAGTCATCCGCATCTTTAAAAGTCGTCTGTTTCAGGCTTTACTGGGTGAGTTTTGTGGTTAGACACTTGTCCTAGTGTGTGTGTGTGTGCCGACTTGTCAGGGTGTGTATCCGTGTTGTTAGAAAGGCGCAAACATGGCGAGGCTGTGCCAGGCAAATATAGAACACTGTATACTGCACTGTCGGCAGTTGTGACGCCCCTCCCCACACGTACTGTACTGTAACTTCCTACTTTCGCTCGCTCGCGACAACAACACCCGGTAATTACACTACGCTAATTAGCAGGGTGGCTAACTAACCCTGGCGCTAATTAATGACCAGGAAGGGCGTGATAATTACAGTAGAGAAGGCGGAAGTTTTGTACATTACAAGTCGGGGGTTCTGGTGGTGGATAATAAGTCAAGGGTCAGGGTAACAACATTCTTCCGTGTATGTTAGCGAACCTCCCCGCAGTGTGTGTTTATATCACACTTTATATACCAAAGGTTTGCTGTGGTTTTGTGTAGGAAGGGGGAGGTTCAAAAGCACAGCTTACAAGGGTTAAACCCGGCCTGGTAGGGAATTCCACACCCAGCATTTCATAGGTCTCCGTGAGAAATGCGGGGACAGTTGTTTGCATATTAATAAACTTGGCTGAAATGTCGTGGCAGGAATGCGGACTATGGCAGCGGACCTCCCCCCACAACGGCCATTTGTAGGCAAATTGGAAAACAACCTGTGATTACGCCGGCCGTGGTGCCAATTTTCTCACTTTGTGGGGTGTTGGATCGGTCCAACAGTGCAGTTAGATGGTTAGAATAGAGCAGGAGGGTAGGAGAGGGGTGGGCATGTAGCTGGGGCTTCTGTGTTGTTCCAGGCTCAAAGGTTAGTAAAAATAGCCGGGAGTTGTAACAGAAACCCTCGGCACTCATGCCAGGCAGGACTGGGGACAGGTTACACGGACACGGCTGTTCTAAATACAACATAAAACTAACTACATGCATGTGGGATATCCAACATCTACCTTTCATAATATCCCAAACTCACAATATCCAACATCCACCTTTCATCATGCCAGGCAGGACTGGGGACAGGTTACACGGACATGGCTGTTCTAAATACAACATAAAGCTAACGACATGTGGGATATCCAACATCTACCTTCCATAATATCCCAAACTCACAATATCCAACATTTCCAATATCCAACATAATTCATCATCCAACTACAGGGCTGTTCTAAAAACAACATAAAACTACATGTGGGATATCCACATCCACCTTTCATAATATCCAACATCCACCTTTTATAATATCCAACATCTACCATTCATTGATGTACAACATGATTCATATAAAACTTCACATTATACAACATCCACCATTCCACCTGCATATGCACTATGTATAAATTATAATGCAGGTTAGTGCAGGTAAGATTGGAGCTGTGCAGGTATTTCTGCTACTTACATGTACCTGTACCTAACCTGCACTGGTCTGTGTTTTGGGTTTATATATAGATGTAGGTGTATGTGGATTTTCTGTAGTTGCACTTCTACTAGCCACCTCTGTATGAAGTGTAAAAGAAACAATTGTTTCAGAACAGTTTTTAGTATGATCACAACTTCATGAATCTTGACTGGTGCAGCACCGCGCAGATAATTTTCAATGTGTAAAAAAAAAAGATAGTTTGAGCCCAGGTGACTCTTAACTTTAGGAACCCTCCCTTGTTGTTGTAAACAAGACGGCCAGGGTTCTGACACCTGCCCTCCAGGTGTACCTGTTGTGGTCTGCTCATCAAGCACTTTCACTTGTTGAACACTTTCACCTGTCAATAACTTCTCAAGACCTTAGATGAACCTTGGGTTAGAGAAGAAGGAAGTCAAGTCTTCCCTTCATGTTTGTAACTTTGTAGTTTGGTAAAGATGAGAATTTCAGGGGACAAACTATCAGTGTTGTATTTCCACTTGTTGCTGAGACCTGATATGTGACATCTTTGGTCTTTGTCGTATTAAACTTTTGCAGTTCTACTTTTAGATTTCCTTCTCTTTAGTTGTGATTAAACTTTACACACCCTGGCACTTTCTGATCAATCGTATATTGTTATAATATTATATTATATGTTTAGATATGAAGGAGAAATTAATTTTTACTCATCAATAGCTGAATACTATATTATTTATGTATTAGAATTATTGAGAGAGCTTTTAGACAAAAGAACTCCCCCATCAAGAGTTGTTAAAATACTAGACTGTACCTGAAGTTTTCAACATAACTTTCCGGGGGATACGTTTATTCCGGGGCGGGGGGGGGTAGGTTANATTTGCGGATAATTAATAGCAAAAATAGTGCAGCGATTGAGGAGTGAATAGGATGAGGACAGGATGGCCCCAGGCAGGGAAACTGTTGACATGAGTTACTCTAACTTTATTGTTGCTGCTGACATATGTTTTGTACGTAGCTTGCTGCATACATATACATGTAGCCTCCACCAGGCACCGCGGATCGCTGGAAAAATAGTAGAAATTGGCTGAAATAAAGGTTTAGTATACCAGAGAAGATCCCGGGATGGCCATAGAAGATCCAATTCGCGATCCACAAATCTTCTAAAGCCCGGGATCTTCTCTGGTATACTATCCCTTTATTGCGGCCAATTTCTACGTACTATTTTTCCAGTGATCCGCGGTGCCTGGTAGAGGCTAGCATACATATACTCTGTACATAGGATGACGTTATCCATACATGTATTTAGCTTTGTTAGATCTTTAGTTGTAGACGGCCATACAAAGTCCCTGTACTTTTTGTTGAGTCAGTAAAGAATCTGTTTGAATTAGAACAGCACAGACCTGGTGGAACTTGTTGACAGTTTGTTAGTGTTTGTGAAATGTTTGTTTATAAAACGGGTTTCACTAAGAGTAGGTGTTAAACTGTGTGGGACTTTTCAAGTATCTGAAATCTCATGTTTTTGTAGTGATGACGTGGTGGTAACAAAATGGTTACTCTATATATAAGTGTTCGTGCTTCTGTTGGAAATATTTATATTGTAAAAACTATAATACTTTTATAATTTGGTAGTGACTGTTTCTTCTAAGTGTAGTATTTTTCCATAACACACAGAACATTCTCATAAATGAGTCATATCTAAAATTGTGGATGCTCCTTTCTGTAAAATCTGCATGTTCCTAATATCCAGTCTTTCATTATGCAAAGGAGGTTAAAATGATACTGCTCTTATGTACATATTAGGCCATTAGCTATTTTTCCTCTATATAAATAAGCACAATATTTCTGCCATGAGTAATAAACCATGTTCCTGACTGTGAGTGTTACATTTCTGATGCTGACTGTCACCAGTAAAGATTTGTAACCAGGAAGTTAGTGGAACCAACTGTTGAACTTGTGTTAACTTAAAAGTTTCATGTCGTCTTCAATGTTTGGTGTTTACTAGTGTGAATAGGATAATGGGATTTCTTGCCTTTTGGTAATTAATTCTGTGTTGCTTTTTAGTAGACACTCTACACGACAAGTTTGATAATCTCCATTGTTGTTTGTTGGTTTATTGTGGAACAACTCTCCTTCAGCTGCCCACCCGAGGGTGACAGCTATTCTTCCAGGAGAGGGTGGAGTATATAAAAACATTACAATACGTCAACATTCACTCATTCATTCACTCACTCACTCACTATCCAGGATTTAATTATACTGCTACTGTTATATTACAACATACAATTACATAAAATTCCATTACATATAGTTATTTCAAAGAGACAAATGTGTAACATCTCCACTGTCTGCACAAGTCTGTTAAAACAATAAGAAACCAGGAACTACATGCATTGTAGTCAGTACAAGCTTTAAAACAAAGGAACCAGGAACTACATACTGTAATGAGTCTGACTCAGCCCCTACACATGTTTATACATGGCCAGTTTCTCTCTTTACTGATGACTCATTCTGCAATTATTATTATATAAATAACAGAAACAACAGACTCAGTCTGAGACATCAGGGGTAGATAGTTCCTGTTTTGGTCATGTTACTACAGTGTACCATAGTAACTGCAACATGTACTTTTGGGAATAATTACACAATTTGTGAGACAGAGGGCAGATAATTGAAGAGCAGAGTTTTTTGTCTTTCAAGAGTTTTTCCTGAACAGTGAACACTGATAGCCTGGTTACCAAACCTATTTGCGGAGAGGATGTAGGACTCTGGAGGTAAAATAGGTTTGGTATTCCAGGCTAAAGTACTGAAACATTTCTTTCACAAATTCTGTCTCGTATAAGTAGAGCAAACAGTTTGACAAGTTTGTCTTCTGAATCTTCTGTTTATCAACCAATTAATAGAAGTTCTTCTTTATGGTGTATTCAGTCAGAAGTAATATTAGTTTAATCTCCAAGCAGATCCCTTTTTGTGGCAAGACAGTGTCCATTAGCCAGAGAAGGTTGTCGGCCACTGACGGGGTAGCGACGAAAAAACGGCCATATATAAGAACGATCATTCCCCCACAACCTCTGCTTGGAGAGTAATGTATTAGTACAGAAAAGGTGAAATGTGTTGTTTAGTATGTAGATAGTTGTTAGGCTTATGTCAAAGAATATTTTCATAAAGCTGCTATTTCTGTTAGGATGAGTGAGTGAGTGAGTCTGGTGCTATTTCTGTATATCTGGTTGTCTCTGTAATTTTTCAGTTGAAGTGACTATTTTTATCATGGCATGTTTGCAGAACTGTCTGTCTTGTTACAAAGCCCATCAGAATGGATCTGTGCACTTGTGTAATCGTTTCCTTGACAGGGCTGGAGATACTGGGTGCATGTGCACCTCAGTGCACCCAAATTTGGAGCTCTGCTCCCAATTTTTTTCTGTGGGTGCACCCAAATGTTTTTGTAGGTTTACGTATATCAAGATGTTAAATGTATACAACTATGCAGCGTATTATTGAAAAGTTTATTGCAAATTCGTGCCCGGAGGCTAATTGCAAATTACAAAACATAAAAGAACAATGAAATAAGAGTATAAAATGACTAAAGTCTACATGATAAAGGTAGCTGTCTTAAACTATGTCTGA